TCTATAATAATATAAATAATCATAGTAGCACGCTATTCATCGCGCGCGATCTAATTTAGTGTTAGACGTTGTTTAGTTAGTGTATATTGTATATTTATAAGTGATCGAAGGACACAGTTGTTTGCTATAAAAGAAGCTTAACTAACGTTTTAAATGTAAATAAAATATAGGTACAAAAGTGTATATGATAGTGTATGTAAATAGTTGATTTTTATAAATACAATCAATAAACTTTTAAATACACCGTTATTTGATTTATAATTTATATTAAGGTTAAAATAATGTTTACATCAATTATAATAAAAAATAATTAATTTTATTTCGTTTTAAAAAGTACACGCCTTAAAAATATTTTTAGGATTATAGAAAGTCGTAAGCCTGAGAAATATGAAAAAGCGTTATTTTAGTCTAAAATGCGACTTATTGCGAAATAATGTTCTTATATAGCACTTGGTCTATCCAATGAATAGCGTGTATTGTAACGTGTTACGAGATATAGCGTGCTGCAAAACTTAACGCACTTGCCGGACTCCTTACACGCTTTCTTATAAATAGCGCGCTATAACATAGCGTATTTAATAGCGCGCTAGAAATTTATAGTGTATAGTCTGTAGCGTACTATTGATTTATAGTAGTTTTGAACAACTTTACTATTTAGCAGAAATAACTCAATCCCGAAAATTTAATTTCGAATCAATAAACAGGAGAATGGTCTTTCAGCCGAAAGTAAATATACTTGAATTTCAGGAGTGCAATTGTCTTCAATCGGTAATTCCATTTTCGATGTAAAATTGTAGTTATTTTTATTGTGATAATTAATTACCATAAGTAAACAAATATTGAAAATGGATTGTTTTGTATTCTGATATATTGGTTTTGATGGATGAACGGTTGTTCACCTTTTGTTGTGTTGTATTTCGGTATAGTTTCGCAGATGTATTCAGAAAACGCGATGATACTGAAGGTGACAAATGGAACTACCATAAAAAATTAACGCACCACAACATAAGAAATAAAACTATAGCAGAAGAAGAGTTTCATATATTACATGCGTTGGAGATGGAGGATGGCATGAAAAGGTTATTTCCCGGACTTTAAAATAAAAAAATTGTTCAATATAGATTATAATTATTTCTTATTGAAAGTCAATATTTTACGTTACCACTGGTTCGAAAAAAAAACCTCTGTCCTGGAAAGAACCAGCAAGAAACCCAGCGGGACTTTTTTTTAAAATAAATTTTACCATGTCAACATAAATGCCTACTGTCGCCCATTCATTAAATGATTTGCGATTGTTTAAAACAAAGTTTTAGAAGTAAATATTCCATTAAATTCACAAGTTATAATTTTAAATAATGCACCGTACCCGTACACCGTACAAATAATCAGCACTATTTTTAAAAGAAAGTGATGGAAGTCCTTTTACAATATTACTTCTAAATCTTTCTAAACGATGTTTATTTATTGTAACAAACACAACTTTCTCATTTTTCTGTTTTTTGTGTATGTAATGCAATGAGACCCACTGTCCACAGTGATCTGAACTTAAATTTTGAATGATAGATTCATGCAAGGGCTTAACATCTGCAAAAATGTTATCTATACAGGTCGCACTAGACCCAGCAAAACGAGTCGGTTCTACGAATAAATTAACAAGATTATACGATTTAAACAATAAGGTAAACTTAATACTAATGGAAGAAGTTTCAAGGAGATTAATGTTAAAGTCTCCACATATAATAACAGTCTTGTTCTTTTTACTAAGTTTGAGCAAAACTTCTTCCACAATCTTTTCAAAATATCCGTAAGTAGCACGTGGGGGTCTGTAAACACTCGCAACAATGAGGTTCTCGAGCTCGATACAACTAATATAATAAATAAACTTTTTCTCTATTGAAGGCACTGACCACCTGGTGATTTCTGAAATTAAACATTTAATTATAATCTTTTAGCCAATGTTCAGTAATACAAAGGAGATGTATGTTGTTACTATTTAAAAACAATTCAACTTCCAACTCTTTGTCCATCATGCCTTCTATATTTTGATGCACCAGGTGTAAACAATTCTTATTACTTATTTGTTAGCTGCATTCTAAATTAATTAAACTCTTATTATTATAATTTTTAGAGATTGCCTCTATTGTCGCATTCACTAATTTAAATTAATTGGAACTGATTCCAAATGAAGCGTCAAATCATTATGCTGCTCAATAGAAGCAGTCTTGGTAGTCAAAAACTTGGCTGAGTTAAAGAGTAAATAATAAGATAACTTTCAAAAATCGCGATTGATTATTGTTCGCCAGTGTCCTTCCTTCCAGTATCCACGCATCCCTTCCACACGCACTGAAAGGGGAGGGCGGTCTAGAAGGTGACGCGATTTTCGGCCAATGAGGAACGCGCCCCGCCGAGATGAGATGGTCGACCCAATAAAGGGGCGCCCGCAGCCGTCGATCGCGCTCTTTCAACGCACCACCAGACTAGGAGCGTCGTTCGCGTCACCAGAAGGAACTCCATCCCGGTAAGTGTGTTTTTCTTTCTTCCTTTTTTATTTGACTTGAACCGTTTTTTTTTGTTTTGTTTCCCCCGTCACATTTTTCTCTCCTACCGGCTCAAGTAGATCTCCCTCTAGACACTGGTGAAGTAGTAGATGTTGGAGGAGCGAGTGCATTTTTCAAGGCTGTCGCGTGCCACGTCAGCCATCTTGTTTGGGGTACCAAGAAACCGCACATAATAGGGTCAAGGCCCGACCTGGGAATTGGACCCAAGAACCCCTAGGCCTGTTGCTCAACCAATTATTATACTTCTTTGTTTCATTTTTGTTCAAATGATTATTTATTATTGGAATAATATAATACTTTTTCTTCACAATATATGCTGATGCGTCACATTGCGAAGCTTTCGGGAGATTTTGACGACAGCTCAACCCAGCGGACAGTTGATGACGACAGTCACACAAGTTCATAAGGCACCCAAGCGATTAGCGATTACTTGAGGTTTATATAAACATCAAAGCACTTGGTTCGTCATTTTCTCTAATAGATCACGCGCGCAGACACTAAATTCACAAAATCGCATCACGTTTACGAATTAAAATCCACTTCAATCCATTATTCAAGCAACAAAACGGGAGTGACAACCCATCTACGGCCAAGTTCCCGCCAAAACCTGAACCTGTTATTCATATCGGATCCATAGATAAATAGATATGTAGCAAACTGGTCTATGCTATTAAATAGCTTATTTACATACATATTAAAACTTGACTGATGTTGTTTTGTGAAGACTGCTATATAGCTAATTTTGTTGTTAAATATAGATACTTGCTAACAGATTACATATAATAGATACATACCAAATATACATTTTTATTTCAATTCTACCTACTAAGTTTAGTAATCATAGTTGACCTAACCCATCAAAAAGTTAGACAGAAAATCAAATTTATAAAAAGTAATTGTAAGTAATTGTTGAATAAAAAATTATTTTCGCGCTAGCGATCGCTACGTGCTAAAGCATTGCCCGCCTGTCCCTGAAAATTTGTAGAATTTAATAAGTACTTACCTCGCTGCCGTCGGTAAGTACCTAGTATCTACGAAGTAATTTTTTAATTATTGACAAAAAGAAACATTGTAAAATGTTTAAATATTATTAAAAAGAAAACAATAATAATTAATAATTTATATTTCTAATAATTTAAAAAACATAATTTATAATTTATTCAATGATAAATAATAATGATAAGATTATTCTTATCATTATTATTTATTATTACTTATGTAATTTCGTTACTTTCTGTTTTTTCTTTGAATGATATTATAATCATTTCAAAGTAGCGCACAACAGCCCGCTTTTTTTTTGGACAACTTAGCGATCGCAGCGCCTCACTTATTTTGTCCATATATATGAGACACTATTTTCTACAGCGATCGTTCTCCTGTTCTCTAACCTCCATGATTATGGTCCTTGAGTCACTAAAATTATGGTTCATAGAAGATAGCTTGATCTCTGCGACAGCTGTCAGTAAAAATCACGCCTATGAAGTCCTGAATTTCTTAGTAGTACAGACACGTAGACAGAGAAACCTATAGACAAATTGACGCCTTCTTTCGCATTCGCGCACGAAAAAGATAGATTTATGCATACGTCTTGCATAGAAATGAGATAGAGCGGTGTGATTGTTTGTCCCTTTCACCGTGCCGGTTTTTTTGTTTAGCAAACTCTACAGTTTGCTAAACAACTTTGAAAGCGTAGCGATTTAAGGAGTTTACAAGTTGGTTTAAGTGAGAAAAAAGTGTTTTGTGAGCTTAGGCTCTCTTAGGATTGGTGAATCTTGTTCAGTTCAGTTCTTAGAACAATTAAATTTTTTTTATCTAAATGTGTTTAAAAGTCATAAAGATTATTGTATAACCTAAAAATTCGTTATCGTCCTTTCTCTCTATAGGTTTCTCTGTCTACGTACAGACACTACCTGTCAATGTCATACTTTATGGGCATGCACTAATTAGGTCGGCATGCCCATAAAGTATGACATTGACAGGTACTGTCTGTAGTCTGTACTTCAGACTTTCTTGAAACTTCACTTGAAATTCAGGACTTCATAGGCGTGATTTTACTGACAGCTGTCGCAGAGATCAAGCTATATTTTATGAACTATAGAGAAAACGACAAAACAAGTGCTTTGATGTCGATATAAACCTCAAGTTATTTTGATCGCTTGAACGCCTTATAAACTTGAGTGGCTGTCATCATCAACTGTCCGCTTTGTTGAGCTGTCGTCGAATTTTCCCAAGGGCTCAGCATATTGTGAAGAAAAAGAATATAAAAATGAAGATTCCGAAAGAAATGATAGGCTCAGAAGGGCTAGAACCCAGAGCCGTAAAGGCAGTTAATAAAAGTCATTAAAATTAGAATTTTTGCTTTTTTATTCGGGATTTCGTGATAGCTTATCAATTATCACTGATAAGTATCTCTGCTAGTAGTAAAAGTGTTCAGTGATAGGTATGCCTTACGTAAAAAATAAATATTACTTGGATATACCTTTCTGTGCTCAAACTAACAGGGTGTGTAAATATTATTTCAAATATTTTGTATTAATCAGACACAGACATAAGCCTGATTTGGATGGGATATTATCTTAGCCTAATAAATACGTAGAGCTAGAGCTGTGATCTTTGATCTGCTCAATTAATTTCAATAAAACTTGATTATTGGCGCATCTATGATTATTTTCTAGGCGGTCCTATTACCTGATAGGCGATGGCTTAATAAGCTGAGGCCTATGTACGGATACAATTACCAATTGGAGATTAATATGTTGATTCCTCCACTGTTGTTTATATATTCATTTCAAACTTAAATTATTTAAGTATTGCCAACCTAGATTTTCGCGATCTGAAGGGAACCAGACAATTCTGGGGTGCCACTATGCAAATGTTGGCTATTTTTAAGCAAGAGTATAAACTATAATATGCTATTTCTATTCTCGCTTGATGTGCCCACACATACCCCATCTCAAATATTCCACTTGTATAAATTTAAAAAAGTTTCATTAAGCACTTTTATTTAAATCAACCTAAGATAAAGTTATCAGTAATAATTGTATAAAGGCCCCTTAGTAGATATATAGCTTAAAACACAGTTATAGCCTATAATAGAGTAGTTTATTATTATAATATTATGAAAAGAACTTACATTAAATTAAATTACTAAATTACTTTACAGAATGAATTCTATACTTATTTCAGTATCGAAGACTTAGTGGTAAGGTGTGTAACATACAAGGAACAAAGTTTTAGATGTCGCACCATTGGAATTTTGAAAAGTATAAATGGAAGATTTTTCATTTCAGAAGTAAGAACTTTTAAGTATCATCATTTTTTACCATATAGTGGAAGTATAACAATATCCGATACCCCATATAATCCTGTGTGGGTGTCATAAGAGGCTACAGAGGGAAATAAATCTGGAAATGAGCAGCAGCATCTTCCTAATAACAGCTATAAATAAACAACTGCGCTTGCAAACCTACTGCCCAAGTGTGGCAGCTATGGCAAATATCATCCCTATGAGGCAATCTATGGGGGAGGCCTACGTTTAGCAGTGAACTGTACAGTGGCGAAGCCTCTATACAAGCCCAGAAGCCCGGCTTGCCTCATTAAGATGAATCAATCAATTATATCAAGTAATAAAATAACTTGTAAACTGTTTCAAACTATTTCAAATTTCCCGCGCACTCTGTTCGACCTCGTAGCCTTACGAATACTGCTGTCATACATATAAGGAGAGTTGAATTTAGCGATTGGTTTTCTCCCTCGCGCGCATGGGCTTTTTACTGGGCTTTCGAGAAGGCGATCGCTCCCTTTCTAACCTGTGGCAAAATGTTCTCTAATGAAATACAACTAAGAAATGTTTATATAGCAATTACTATTGAACCACAAGCCTGGCTTTGCCCTGAAATTGTTTAGGAGTGTGTTAGCGACTAGCGAATGGGGTGCGGGCCATTCATATGCAAGTTCACTTCACATTTCAATGTTTATGTTTGTTTTTGTTGTGTTTGTTAAAAATGTATGCTTTTTCAAAGATTTTCAGTGAAAATGGGAGGATAATAGTGTTCATTGTGATTAAGTGTGTTGAAGTGCTAATCAGCGAGGAAAAGGTAAAATCTTTAAAAATGAAATTTAATATTCAATAAACATTTCTTCATACTTTAAATATAGGTACAGGACTCTTTAGTATTAAAGTTTAATTAAGTTAGGCGTATTTAAAGGTTTAATAACTCAATATTTATAATAGCATATGAATTAAAAATATCATTTTGAATGGCAGCATAAAATATGAAGCCCAAATTTTAATGTAATAAATCAAAAGAATACAGAAGAATGTATTGAGGTTTTTAAAGAATACTCTCTTTAGGTATTTCCAGTATATAAAATTTTAATAGCGCCATCTACTTAATTCTATAGGTAAAGTCATTTTATCGAACGAAAATTGGTTGATTCTCACAATGGTACCTAAAGATTACGCTAGATGGCACAAATACGCTATCGGCTAATTTAATATTTATATTACCATATGAGTTTAAAAATATCATTTTGTATGGTTTATTATAAATTGAAAATGAATAATTATATAATAAATAGTCATTATTTTATGGTAAAAAATTAGCATAGCTTTATCTTCTCATTATAACTATCTAATTCCTGTCGTAATCTGTTCTTTTATGCATATAACTTAAACAAAATAATTTCGAGGTTTCACATCTGCCAGGCGTCCATTTTTTAACTTTGTACATAGTTTGTTTGTACTTTGTTCATGCTTTTCTTTTGTTCATGTATTGTATTGTTTGTAAATATCTCAAGCAAACCCAAACGGCTCTTTTCAAAACCATCGAAGGTGTGCAGTTGCATATTATGTCATACAATCTATCTAGCGGTAGTATGCTTTCTGTGTGCTTTGTTAAACACGTCCTTGTCAGCACTGAATATGAAACTAAAGAGTGGAGACAGCTCAAGATTGGTGTATATTTATTAAACTGCTAAAAACAACAAAACCATATCTTGGGCTTGCCCTAGTTTGGAGCCCTAGCTTCGCCACTGGAACTGTAATAGGTAACCTGGTAACCTTATTTTTTGCTATTCAGAAATTTGTTACTTATCTTTATATAAATATATATATATATATATATATATATAAATACATAATATATATATATAAATTATTCACTATGTGTGTTCTTCAATAAACTACGTGATGGCTCAATGGATTTAGATTAATTTTTTTGTGTTTGAGTGGGTCACTGGTTGGCTTAGATCCACAATTGGACTCTGTCACGCTGCAGCTATATTATGGTTGTAGTATGAATAGATCGGCTTGACCGGGGAAGGATCATACTCTCACAGAATACCAGCGTAAAATAGAAGCTTAATACTGCTGTGTTTTGTATGGTGAGTGTAGAAATCTGAAGAACCTTATTTACTGGAAACAAGACATTCCATCTTAGTCCTCAGGTGTGACAGCGAATCTGCATTTTGATTCTTAATACACGATAAATATAGATGTCTATGGACCACAGCTTCCACTTACCATTAGGTGGACTGTGTACTTGCTTGTCACACTAAATATATTAAAAAAAATATGTGCGAGGCTGGGGTGGGTTGCTATTTTTTATAAATATTAAGTGACCAACAAACTTACATGCCACTAGCATTCCTATTCTCTAATTTTGTTGACATAAAAATTATAGTCAAGCGATGAATAACTGCTACCAACTTCAAACATAAAAGGCTACAGAATGTATCTTTGAGTACTAAGAAGGAATACCTCACGGTCTATAATTATGTTGGCTCTCTATACCCTCACACTGGACCAGCAGTGCAACACTCTTACTTGCTGGCAGAAATAGGTAATAGTTGGTACATACTCAGATTAAACTAAGGCTACAGAATGTACTGAGTAATCCTACCAACTATAAAATAAAAAATTGAGATATATTTGTGTATATGTCTACGTAAACACATTGCATTTATCTTGTGCATAACTTTTATTTACAAACAAAAGGTGACAAACAAGCACACAGTCCACCTGATTGTTTGTGGATGCTGATTCCCATAATTTTCTACATTTATTCTCGATTAAGAATCAAAATGTCATCCCTGAGGACTAAGATGGAATGCCTCATTTCCAGTAAAAAGGGTTTCCGGTTCTCTATGCTCACCATACGAAACACATCAGCAAAGTTACTATTTAACACTTTCTGTGAGAGCATGTTCTTACCCTGGTCAAGCTGACTCATTCAACTGTAATATACAGAGTAGTGCTACCATGTAAAATAACTTTTAATTTCAGATTAAGCTGCCAATGAAGGCAAGTGATGAAACAAAAATAAGAGTATCAATGATTTATCTGAAGTCACCTCCTAAATCTACATTTATTCCATACACCGTACAAATATTTGGTACTTTAACATGGAGGAAAAAACCAGTAATATTTGTTAATTTATTGCAGGTAGACATGAATATTCTGTTAAACATAATGATTTCTTATATTTACGTGAACACCACACAATACAACTCTTTAATCTATTCTATTTTTATTACCCGACGTTTCGGGTGTTTACCAGCATCCATGGTCACGTGGGACTGAGGTGACTGATATCCGTTATTAAGACTAAGTTGAATTAGATTAGTTTTAGCTACTATGGGATTAATAACGGATTTTGTTGGTTTGGATTTGTTTTATTGTTTTGATAATATGAAACAGCAAGGAATTACAAAACCCATGTGTTCATATTCACGGTCTCTATTGCGAGATTGAAATCGACGCATTCTAACGTGTGGTGAATACATGGAAAACTCCAGGATTCTCCGAGTACATACTAGAGCGAATTAATGTACAAGAGGTTAGTAAACAACTACTTTTTAAAAACATAAATAGATAGTGGCGTGATTCATTAATGAGTATTTTCTCTTGAATGATGTGACTTATGTCTTATGTATGTATGTATGAAGATTTTAGTTTATTTCTAAACGCAACTCTTTACTCACTTGTCCCATTAAAAAAATATATGATAAAGCTGAGAAAAATATTTATAGAGCGCTTTCGCTAGTAAGCTATTGTAATTTTTTTTTATTGCAGTAATGTTTTTTTCAGGTACCCCATAATGACGTGCAGTACATGTGTTAACACTGTTGGGTAGCAAAAAAATTTTTTGTTTATGGACCCAATACAGTGTCAGTAAGAGTAGCATAAAGTTGGTTCGAGTTTTTTTAAAAGTATGTGGCCTTACAAACCATACATTTTATGGTCCTTCGAGTAAAACCGGACATTTTATTAATGATGATTGAATGGCCTTACAAACCACATAAAGTCTATGCCATTTTTGAAAAAATGGAGCTAGATCGATATATTAGTAATTATGATGAATTGAGTATTGATCACAAAACAGTTATGACCCATTTAAAAAAGTCTGACTATACAAAAAACTGGATATATGGTTACCACACGAGCTCACTGTAAGAAACCTAATGAATTGTGTACTCATTTGCTAATCTATATTAAAACGTAATGAAACTGAATCATTTTTGTAAAGATTGATCACTGGTGAAGAAAAGTGGATCATCTTAGACAAGAATGTGCGAAAAAGATCACGATCTAAGAGTAGTCAAGCTCCACAGACTGTAGCGAAACCCGGATTAACACGCAATAAGGTGATGCTGTGTGTATGGGGGGGAATTGGAAAGGCATCGTTTATTATGAGTTTTATCGTCGGGAAAAACCATCGATTCGGATCCCTACTGCCAGCAAATGCCAATAAAACTCAAACAATAAATTGAGTAAAAACGGCCGGAATCGACCAACAGAAAAGGAGTGGTCTTTCATCACGATAACGCCATACCACACACATCTTTGGCCACTCAGCAAAAATTGAGAGAGCTTGGTTTGGAATTAGTGTTAATTCACTTTATATTCCTGACCTTGCACACTCAGATTTTCACCTGTTTTGTCTCTTTAGAATTATTTGGGTAGTTAGGTTAACATCAAGAGAGGACTGTCAAGCTACTTGTCTCATTTTTTTGATCAATAATCCCAAGATTTCTACAGCAACGGCATTATGTCTCTGCCTACAAGACGGCAACAAGTTTTCGAACAAAATGGCACATATATATATTATAATTAAATGTATTAAACTTTGAAAAACAAAATGTCTTGAACTTGTATATAAAATACCAAGAAACTTTTTCCTTGACCTTATATTAAGTTATAGCCTATATTCGTTCCAGCTACACTACTACAGGCCTCTCATTTCTGAGGGTTATTTTAGTCATTCACATTACATTGTATGTTAGCAGACTTAACATCTTTGAATTATTCTTTTTCATTACTGTTACAGCCTATAAAAGTCCACGGCTGAACATAGGCCTCCCCCACAGATTGCCTCATGGGGGATATTTGCCGTAGTTACTAAGCTTGACAAGTGGGTTGGCAACTGCAGTTTTTTTATTTTAGTCGTTATTAGGAAGATGCTGCTGACCATCTCCCGATTTGCTTCCCTCTGTTTGCTCACACGACTCCTACGGGATAATATGGGGTAGTTGATATTCTTACACTGCTATTACATAGTAATTCTTGTTCCTCTGATGCATTATAATATTTCATTTTTGCTGGCAGGGATTGTATACTGCTTTCTCACATACTGTGTAACATTTAATATGACTTTATATTTTACAAAATATTTTTTAGGTAATCAATACTGCCATGGCCATTAGACTAAAGGAAACCTTAACATCAGTCACCAGTACGCATCTAACTCAAGTACCAATTGACGAAAATGACTGTGTTGAGCAATGCGCTTTAATAAACGGCTAAAAAATACGAAGCTGCTCATCCTTGAAGGGTTTAAGAGTGTATTTGATGTGCCTTTTCTAGTCCATTCGAGAAATTTTTATTATAAATTGAGCTGTGAAGAATAATGACATGTATACTTAATATGATAAGACTCAAAATTAATTAAAAGATAACTCGGGATGCTGTTCACACTTAAACCAACTTAAGTTTTAAATGCTTGTGTTGGTAAAGGTTCATGAAGGTAAGTAGTTAAATAAATAAAAATTTGTTTCTGTTTCAAGAATGGTAGATTAAAACCTACAACTGTTTAATTTTTGCAGTTAATATCCTTAATAAAGAAAAAATAAATAAAAGATTTAATTGGAAACTATGCAATTTATTTCAATCTTAAATAAATACAATAACAATAGATGAATAAGATTTACATTCCCTCACCATCCACACTATTCATGAAATTAATATATGCAATGAAAATGAAAGAAAATTTTTAGAATGTCTTGTAATGTTGGCTGATTACATAGTTTTTATATTTTATATTAAGTAATTTATTTATATTTTAGCTATATTGCTTTCTAAATTACGACTTGGTCATTTTATAAGTTTTATCAGTATTAACTTAATTCATATTCTGTATATATTTTTGGTATCAATCAATACATAGACAGCCTAAAATTTATCATTGTTATCTACAAGCGGAAAAAATAGATCTATTGATGTACAATGACAATCAATTTAATATACAAGATATAAACAACCAAATTTTATGCGAAATATAGCATTTTACTGCATTATTTAATCATCTAAATGTTGCTTGCAAATGAGGCTTTATTAAAAAAAAATTGCATCACAAATAAGCTAAATAAATCACTTTAACACCAACACCAATTATGACAATGGGCAAATTGAAGTTTGATATACAATGTGGTATTTAAATAAGTCTACATAGGGTAAATAAGACATTCAAACTTCCGAATATAACAATCTTTCGATTAATCTTAAGCAAAATGTACAAAAGATATTGCATTAAAATATTGCAATATATTTATACATTGTGTTGGAATGATTTACACAAAGCCCTTTATATTCTATGTTGATAAAAAATTGAATCTTGAGAAATTATTAGATGTAGGTTTGTCAGTCAAGTGGAAAAATATATTAAATGTCAATAAAACATGGTAGTAATATTGTCTGACAATATTGTGATGAATGTAACTTAATTTAGTATGGGCTATACTTTTTAGCAGGCAAAGGCAAATGTATTATAAAGTGATTTCCTGTACAAGTTCATTATGGAAATTTTATACACCCATATGCAAATTTAGTTTTTGTGCTTTTTCTTATAAAATCATGAAATGAGAAGACTATTATTACATAGTAAAATATTATATGCAAAAATATTTTTTTAGTTAAGTATAATCCATTTAAAATATTTTTTTCACAAGTGTATGTACTCTGCTTCTGTTTTTAGATCTTAAAATTGTCATGGTCTATCTTATCACTATCACAAAAGGCATATTTATTCACACTCAAAAATGGAATATGAATATTTCTTTAAAAATGTATAAAAAAGAAAACTTCAAGATATAGGATACAGTTACTAAAACAAAATTATACAGAACACCCAACCATAAATTCTATAATTTAACACTCTATATACGAGAACTCGTATGAGAAGAATTTGGATCAAACATTTTGGTTTTATATTATACAATATGTACACTATTGCTCATTCTTACTTGAAATTCATTATACATAGGATGTAAATACTCAAATTTATTGTGGCATTATGGTTTAGTGTTAAACATTGCTCGATTATATTCACAACACAAGCTGGCTACTTTCATCACAATATTGCTTGTATTAGCTATGAGGTGAATCTAAAGCACCCAAAAGTATAATATAATAACTAATAATATAACTGCGCCCGCTGTTACCTTAACTAGCATGGATTTTGTGTTTAGGTAAGTAGCATCTTTCTTGTATTTCTGTGACATCATTGACAAATTTTGTGTTTTCGTATCCAGCTCTGCAAAGAAAACAATCTTCAAGTTAATATTAAACCAAATGTGAACAATAATTAACAGCTGCGTGATTTGCGGTAGTCGTAAGAGCTGTTTGCAACTTAGGAAAATGTCGTATGAGTTCCGCTGCTTCCATAATCTGCACTACTAATGTTTTTCAACTAATGAGGGAGGAAAAACTGGTAACAGCCCAACAATTGGAAAGTGGCTACTGCAGCCTACGGAAACTTACAACTATCTTGGAATTAAGGCTATAGATGCGTTCTCAACACCACGGATTAAGTTGGAATGTACTACAGCCTTTAAATACACTGGATTTCAATAATCTTCAGACTGGAGCACAGTAGAACAACGTGGTAGAGCCATGCTGCAGTTATATTAGTCATATAGTTGTAGCATGAATGGGTCAGCTCGACCAGAGAGGGACTACATTCTCACAGAATACCAGTGTCAAATAGTAGCTTGATGCAGCTGTGTTTCGTAAGGTGAGTGTAGAGAACTGGAGACCCTTTTTACTGGAAACGAGGCAATTCATCTTAGTCCTCACGGGTGGCAACGCATCTGCGTTTTGATTCTTAATCGAGGATAGATGTAGATGTCTATGGGCCATTTACCATCAGGTGGACTGTGTGCTCATTTGTCACCCTATCTTATATAAAAAAAGTAGTGCACACACTGCTATTTGGCTTCAGAAATAGGTTTTTTTCGTAAGTCACATACAACGCCAAATGAGGTTCTGAACAAGAGTTTTTACATAGTAAAGTCATGCCGTAGCATTTGCTGTGGTACTAATGCAATGGTTACTAAGAAATGGTATGTTCTTAGGGGGTTACAATGCATCTGCATTAGGATTCCTAAACATGGATAAATAGACCATAAATACAGAGTCCATGAGATTTCCACTTTCCATCAAGTGTGCTGTATTCTAGTTTGTCACCCTTCTATAAATAATATTGCCAGGTATGTGAACCGAATATTTGAAATTAAAACCAAACACTTTGTATTAGCGTAGTAGATTTAATTGTATAATATTTGTATACCTAAAGGTTGAATGCAGTGAACATTTTAAGTTTTATAGTTAAAGATTTATTTTGCCTCATTACCTGTATTCATAAATAAAAATTAATTTGAATATGAACACAATTTTAAATTAATGGCAACCATGGCAATGTAAGAATATCCACTACCCCATATCGTCCCGTGGATGTTGAGACACAACGGAGGGAAAGTGAAACAAGAGATGAGTAGGAGCATCTTCCTGGTAACACACTGAAAATAATAAAAATTGCTGTTTCCAACCCGAACAAGCATAGCAACTTACAACAAACCGAATGATTTTGAGCTTTGTTAACATACCGGATAGAACAGCTCCTCGTTGCAGTACATCATCAATGTTCTGCATCATGATGCGCTGCACATCACCGAGCTGACCTCCGAGCTGCGCGGTTGCCCCGGACCGCCGTGCCCGGGCACCGCCCTCGGCGTACTGTTTCCTTGCGCGCTGCATCCACGTGTCAAACTCAATGAATGTGTACGGCCTAGTAACTGTGTTAACCTAGAATTTAATAAGAATTACATATTAATTATACGTAATAGTTTGTTTTTATAGGATAATGGTGACTAGTGTCACCGTTATCACGTTATCACAGCTTCCACTTACCTGATGGTAAGTGGATGCTGTGGCCCATTGACATCCACAGCTATCCTTGATAAAAAATCAAATTGCAGATGAGTTATCACCCTTGAAGACTAAGTTGGAATGTTTCGTTTTCAGTAAAAAAAAAAGTATCCAGTTCTCTGCCCTCGCCCGACAAAACACATTAAGTTACGATTTTACGCTGTTATTCTGTGAGAGTGTGGTCCTTCACCGGTCGTGCCGAATCATTCATGTTACAACATAATATAGCTGCAGCATGGCTCTACTATGTACAAAACATATTTTTTTTTATAGTGAATAAATTGCCACACAAAGTTTTTATCGCTCGATCGCGTCGACCCAAACGTCGCAGGCACATCAAACACTGACACTACACCTATACCGAATGGAATAAGCACAAGTAGGAAAACGGATGTGGCGCGTAACACTCGTAGGTGGGTACGACGCGTTCCAGCACACCCCGCGTACACACCGGTATACCTGCGTACCTGGCAGTTCACACCGCCCAAAACATCGGCAAACACGAGTTAAGCAGTCAGAGGAGAGGGTGCCCACTCCTCTACTCAGATAGCGGTTAGATAGCTAAAAAACCATCATCATCATCCTCATCATTATTGCCTTTACGATTTTAATCATCTGAAAGGCTGCAAGCCCTGTTCGATAAAGCTGTTACAGCTGTATAGGCTAACAGCACCAGCACCAATTTTGTGGAAGTTAACTGAAGTATAATATATGAAGCACATAAGAATACTATATTGGCCTGTGGGTGTCGTAAGAGGTGTCAGAGGAAACCAAACTTGGAGATGGGCAGCAGCATCTTCCTAATAGGGTTTTTGGGTCCCGAGATGTTTCATGTCTCAGGACTTTTTCGAAATTTAAGTCTCAGGTTTTGGGACTTTCAAGTAGAGACGGGCCGAAATGGATTTCACCGAATACGAATATTCGGCCGAAAGTTCGGTTAAACTTTTACCGAACCGAATATTCGGCCGAACATTATTTGGCAGGATCACCTCGGTACCAAACCAATATATGTGTGTCGAAACTTGTTCTCCTAAAGCACGCGAGATTAACGCCGGACCCTGCCCCTCGCTCCCCCTGTACACCTGACATGTTGTTGCATCATCTGGTACTGACAAACTGCCGGTTGCTTATGTTTTGATTATTTTGTGAGCAAAAAAGTATTTTGTTGTGTCTCGTCATTAAGAATGTTATTCTTAGTGCAAATTGATAATTATATGTTAAAAATGGGTTGCAGGAGGTCTACTATTTGGACTTATTTTAGAAAAACTGACGACCAAGTGAAATGTACTAATTTAATGTAGATAATGTTTCTTTGTTTGGTT